TAAAAGGTTAAAATAAAAATATTTTCAAAGATGCCATGCCCACATTCTCTGAAAGCTACAGGAAAATATGCTCCTTCGAACCAATAAAGTAAACAAATAGGAAAATATGATTAACAAATAAGAGATGAACTCCTTTGATTGCTGAGCAAAAACTATAAGCTTAACTCAATAAAATAAAGTTAAAATAACACATGAAAAAAGTACATGATCTCCCAAGATGATGGTGAAGCAAAGTCCTAGAACTCCAGAAGTTGAGCAAATACAGGTTACAGGAAGAGGATGCAGGGTTCCAAAAGGAATACTGCCAAGGGGGGAAGAATAGAACTGATACGTGATATACTTGATCAGAGTCAGGAAATAGATTTCACATAAAATAAATACAGGAAATTTAAGGGAAACAAATAATTATTATTAATTGCAAATTATTAAAAAAGAGGGAGCTCTGGTAGCTTAGTGGTTACGAACCGGGCTGCAAACCTTAAGGTCAGTGGTTCGAAACTTCCAGCCGCTCCACAGGAGAAAGATGAGGCTTTCTACTCCCGTAAAGATTTACACCCTCGGAAACCCTGTACGGGGTCGCTATGGGTCGGAACCGACTCAACGGCACTTAACAACAATTATTAATCAAGGTATTATTCTTAGGCGAAACAAAGAGTAATGCAAAAAAGGAAATATAGAAAACTATGCAGTTCATCTGCATATTACATGCTACTGTACGCTGTCGGATCAGTTCCGACTCATAGGGACCATGCATAGGGTTTCTGAGGCTGCAAATCTTGACGGGAGCAAAAAGCCTCATTTTTTTCACACAGAGCAGCTGGTGGACTCAAACTGCTGATCTTTTGGTTAACAGCCTAATGCATAACCTGCAATACCTTGTATATTATATAGTTGTAAAAATACAAACATCAAACACTGATTTAACAAAAAAAAATATGTTGTTGTTGTTATGTGCCGTGGAGTCGGTTCCGACTCATAGCGACCCTGTACAGGGTTTCCGAGGCTGTAAATCTTTATGGGAACAGAAAGCCTCATCTTTCTCCCGCAGAACAGCTAGTAGTTTCGAACTGCTGACCTTACGGTTCACAGCCCGATTCGTAACCACTATGCTACTATTAGTATATTGAAAAGATGGGAAAAAAGGAAGTATTAGGGGGACATGGTATACAGGCTGCAAATCTTTACAAGAGCAGAAAGCCTCATCTTTCTCCCACAGCAACACTGGTAGTTTCAAACTGCTGACCGTGAGATTAGCAGCCCAACTTATAACCACTACAAGAGCTCCTTAATAGGAAGTCTATAGATACGATTTCAAACTAAACCATCAAAAAGCAGCAATATAGGCAATTTCAAGTAATGGCAAAAAAAAAAAAAGGCAAGAGAAAAAGCAGAAGAGTTGAAAATGGAATCCACTAGAAAATAAGAGTAAGCTTTTTAAAATTATCATTATTATTATAAATCTTTTAGAACACTTTCATTTCTTTCATCATGCTGCTCAAGTATTAAGGAAGTACAGAATCTTCTATGTAGAGGGACTATGTTACCAACAAGATGTTAAGCTAATCATAAACTTCTAATTAGATTTGCAGAAAAGCACTTCTATGATCCCCTCATTAGGATCTTACCCAATTTGAACACTGCAATGGTCTATGTTCCTTTTTAGATTTGAAATCTTTTTCATGAATTTAAAAGATATATAAAAATCATCCTCAGGTAATCCATGTTGTCTTAAACGGACTCCAGAGGATCTTTTCATTAATTACCCCAACTCCACCAAATTTCCTCCCCATGTCTGTACATAAGAATGTCACCATGATAACTATTCTCTATGTCCTATTAGCTAAGAATGGTTTCTACATTTTTTGTGGGTTAATGCACTGGACTACAAAGTTGGTTTGATCCGCAAGGTCGGCGGTTCAAGCTCATTAGCTGCTCCTCGGAAACCCTATACAGGGTTGCTATGGGTTGGAACCGATTCAACGGTGCTTAACAACAAACTTGAGAAAATATCAAAAGAATATTTTATTATAAAACATGAAAATTATATGAAATTCAAATTTCAGTATTATAATGAAGTTTTACTGAAATACAGTTATCTGTTTATGAATTGACCATGGCTGCTTTTATACTACAGTGGCAGAGCTGAGTAGTTGGGACAAAGACCATATGGACTATGGCCTACAAATCCTAAAATATTATCTGGCCCTTTAAAAAAAGTTTGCTACCTCCTGCCAGAAGTCCAATGCTAGCCCAGATGTGAATAAATCCCTTAAGTCATTTGTGTATCAGAAGCAGGGTCAGGAAAAGAACCAGTTTCTGTTAAACTGTGACGACCTAAATATTCTGCAACTAAATCAAAATAAAAATTCTCTGCTATATAAACTGCTAGACTGTATTTTTTGGGGTTTTTTTGTGTTTTTATGCTGTATCCCTGTTTTGTTTTCCCTATGTTTCTCAATAAATTTAACCATAGGAGAATAGGTATGATACAGCGTTCCATATATACAACCTAGATGGAAGCCTAGGGAAACTAAGGCAATTAAATGACTACCCACTACAAAGAGAACATTTGGTATAAGACTAATGAGGGTCTCCTCATCTAACAAACTCCTCTATCATAAGAATGAGATGTAAAAGTATTCACTCTTACAGCAATAGGTGGCTCATCTTAAAGAGGAAGCCATACAATGTCTAACCTAGACCAACATATAGGGAATATCATCTTAACTAAGTACATGGGGGAGACAAGGAAAAAGCAAGTCTAAAATAAAGCAGTTATTGGCATGTTTCTGAAGCTACACCCAAAGCTGTAGGAAAAAATGTAATGCTTACCCTGGAAAGAATGGAAAGGAACCCCAAAAGGAGGATTCTAAAATGGGTCACTGCCATGTAAGTAAGCAAAGACCCTGCAGCCTTAGTAGCAGTACTTCTCTTGGTGTTCAACTGACAATAGAAAGAAGTAGCAACCAGAGGAGATCAGCTATTAGAATTGAACTTACTGCTTAGCATAAGCACTGGACTCCTGGCTGCAAGGTCCACAGTTCAAAGCCACCAGCCACTCCTCGGAAATCCTATACAGAGTCACTATGAGTCAGAACTGGCACTTAACAACAAGAACATAGGGTAAGGCCTGGTGTGGCGCCGTGGGTTAATGTGTCAGACTGCAAAGTTGTTTGAACTGCAAGGTCGGTGGTTCAAGCTCATCAGCTGCTCCTTGGAAACCCTATACGGGGTCGCTATGGGTTGGAACTGACTCATCAGCACTTCACAACAGCAAAAAGAAGTTTAAACTAAAAGCTCCTTACCTTCCATACTTATTGGTCAACAAAATCCTATGCTAAAAACAGGATAACCATAATAAATTTGGAGTTCTCGTGCAGCACTGTGGGATACAGCCACTAGACTACAAGGTCGGTGGTTCAAAGCACCAGCTGCACCTTGGAAACCCCACACAGAGTCATTATGACTCAAAACCAACTCGACGTGACTTAACAACAACAATAACATAGTAAATATAATTTGGGTCCCTACACAGAGCTTTGGGATCCTGGTATGGCGCTGTGAGTTAATGCACTGGACTGCAAAGTCGGTTTGAACCACAAGGTCAGTGGTTCAAACTCACCAGTCGCTCTTTGGAAACTATACAGGGTCGATAAGAGTTGGAACCAACTCGACAGCACGTAACAACGGCAGACAGAGATTTGGAGGAAGAGAATAAGGATTGGTTCACCGCCTCTCTCTTATTTTGTGCTGTTGCTAAGTTCCAACAAGTCGGTTCCGCCTCACAGCAGTTTCCAAGGAGCAGCTAGTGGGTTTGAACCACCAACCTTGCTGTCAGAAGTTCAGTGATTATCCTACAATGCCACATCAAGACTCTCTTATTTAGACATATACTCCAAAAACAGAAAGAACTGAGAAAGTGAACATAGGAATCGCCCCCAAAATATAACCAGTGAGACAGGGAATATGACTTCTATGACAGGTTTCAAAATCTAAGACACACAGGAGAAGCAAACTCTTCCCTAACATAGAAATAAAAACCCACTACTATCAAGTAGATTCCAATGCAGAGAGATCCTCTTGGACAGAGTAGAATTGCTCTACAGGGTTTCAGCTTGCCTCATTCTCTTGAGTTCAAGCTAGTAGGTTCAAACCATCGACCTTTCAGTTAGCAGCCCAATGCTTAACCCACATGGCATCAGGGCCCCTTTAGGACAGCAATGACACCTAACAAATAATAACAAAACTTTTTCCATCCTTAAAAAATCAGGATTGCTGATTTTTCTACAGTCATTCCTACTTTCTACAGATGCCCAATGCAAATACAATCAAAAACAATAATGCTAAAGAAATTCTACTTAAAAGATGATTCAAATTAACACTTTCCTATCAGTGATATAGGAGTCCTGTGGGTTAATGCGCCAAACTGCAAAGCCGTCTGAACTGCAAGGTCAATGGTTCAAGCTCACCAGCTGCTCCTTGGAAACCCTATACAGGGTCACTATGGGTCAGAACCGACTCAATGGCACTTAACAACAACATCAGTGATATACTTTTTTTTTTTTACAACATCTGCTGCACTTACATTACAGTGCTAAAAAGATAAAATGTTTATCAAAGTCCTTTTTTAAAGGTATTTTTAAATCAAGTTCCATAATATCTCCAAATTTCAAGATTTCAATTAAAATTTTATTTAAATGTTTACATTCACTCATTTATTTTCTTCCCTCTATGAAGTCACTGAGAAATACTAAAAAAAACTAAAGATGGAAATATTATAGACAGGAAGAACTAATACATATAGCTAAGAAAGACAAAAAGATTTATGATGTCATCCTATTATTGCTGATAAAATCTTAAAAGTACAAGCTAGAAACAGCTCTCCTTACTTATTTGGGAAAAAAGAGACTAAGTTCAATACACTCATTTTGTTTTTATGGATATTCGCCAATAGTTTTAAAAATTACCTTAATAATAGCACATACTTAGACATGCCTTACCTATTAAAGATTTGATATTTTCTAAAATTAAATCACTAGTAATATTTCCAGATAAATCTTGCCCCAATTCAGCAATCAGCTTGGCATAACCTTCATTCTCTTCTCTTAACAAATTGAATTTTTGCTGCTTATAACTGAAATTAGAGAAACATTAAGGGGATAAAATAAATTTCAATTAATAAGCTTAAATAAGAATAATTATTCTACTCATTGCATTTTCTTATCTCATTTACAACAACCACTGTAAGTGTTAAAAGTTTACCTCTTTTGGGTATCTTTTAGATACAGTGGTTCTTATGAGACATCCCTATATTAATTACATGGGAAAACCAGTAGGACAATAAGAAATTACTGCTATTTCCATCACTGACTTAGCTATAAATTATTTTATTATAAATTATTAAATTGAACTATGAAACCACTGAATATTATTTTAACTAATAGGAATAAAATTAACAGTTTCACAAAGGTAAAGAATACTAGTGAATCAAAAAATTTAGATTACTTTTAAAAAGAAAGAAAGGAAAACAAAACCACAAGACACATGCTAACAGCATTAAAACAAAGTCTCTTTAAACTTGCCTTTAGAAATCGCAGTATTCAAACTGAGAACTAAGAAAATATACTCAGCTACTAGATCTGCAACATAGGTGCATGTACTTACAAGAGTTTTGTCTTGATTTTAACGGATTTTTGATTGAATTGCTGTGACTGTTTGATAAGCCCCAATGATTCCAATGTTTCTGGATCCAGGCGTTCCTTTAGAACTGTGTCTGAAACTAAATACTGTATTAAAAAACATTAAAGCCATTAATTCCTCAGCATTCTAATTGTGCATCCACAATCTTGAATAATTTTTAATTTTCCCAAATAAAAACAAAAATCAAATTCTAATATTTTTTAATTCAACTTTCTACTTTTTGAAATCTCATTGTTTATCAACAAACTTTTAGTTTATAATAAGACCTGAAATGTCATTTTAACAAAAATGATGACTTCAAATATTCAAATATAAAATATATGGCACTTTAAAAAAAACTCACTAAAAATAAATATATAACCCACAAATGGCAAGAACATAAGAAATTCCAATTAAAAATGAGTTTGTCTTAACTGAATTTTCACTTCAGCTTTATTTTCTACCATAAATCCAATTCTAGTACAGTAAAGACAAGGACATTCTTCCAGGTCTGAATAATGGCATTTCTCTCCTTGGTTCTAATTTTATGAACATAAAATGGTTTACTGGACAATGATTACAACAAGTTCTATAATTTATTATTTTTAAACTACCTCCATTCTTTTTCCCCTTGCCAAATAAAGAGATTATGAAAAAAATTCTTAGTTTAACAGCTGTGCTAATCATTCCTATTCACTTTATAAATGCTCACCATTTTCTTAAATTAAGAAATTATCAATACTAAACAAGGATTATCCCCAAGTCTTATATGTATAACTAGTTTAATGGATATGGTAATGTGCCTATTTTATGTGAATAATTAACATATATATTTTCATAAACCATTCAAACTCAAAACTCAAACCTCACTTTATAATGTTAACATCCTCCTCCTCCATTAACATGATTAACTGATGTGACAACTGTTCAATGCAAAACTTAGAAACATTTTTAATACTTACCAAACATGCTAATACCAACTGTGTAAAATAGTCTCTCTTGCTTTTTTCCTCTAAACAATTTGTCTCAATATCTATGTTGAAGGAGAAAAAAAAAAGAAAGTTTGGTGGTTTTTTTTTTTATTATCGCTCTGTAAAATTATAAGAAGTCACTTGTTTTATTTAAAGTAGGTAATTTTTAAATGCCTCATTCTGAATTTGCAAACTTTAAAACTACTGCTAAATATGAGCTATCCTTCATATGTACATGACTGCCTAGAATGAATTTCTCCTGATAACGGAAGCTCCCTAACCTGGCTCCTGTGACTTGTGACAATTCATGTCAATCAGTTATACAAGAGATACCGGCTTTGGCATTAAATGAACCAAAACATCAGAAAACCACTATTCTCAAAACTCTCAAGAAAAGTTTAAATGGCCACTTGTCAGAGATGCTAGACAGATTCGTTCCCCGGATGAAAAGCTGAACTGGGTGACAACAAAGATCTCCTCTAACTCTAAAAATTCTATTACTCATGAAGATCACACCCTTGATCATGGCCACCTTGGTTCCAAATGCCACCTGGTTACAGTATTATGAAAAGACAGTATTGAAACATATTCTTAAAATCCTATTGTGAATTATGATTCTATTCAGTAAACAAATTTATTCAAGATTTTAATTTTCTTCCACTCAAATGCTAAAAACAACAAAATAAAACCCTGAGACCTCCTTGAAGTAAAACTATTCAGAAAGCTTGTCAAACAATTTTCTGATCTGAGGTGTGAAGAAATCAACTTGTTCTCAATGTCAAGCATTAGAGATTTCAGCCAGAATTGGCATGATTATTAAGGCAGATCTCTTGATTACTGCTTTTATTGGTTACATATTATTATCCTATTTAAAATGTCAACTGATAATTTAAATTGTACTAAAGAAAGAGGAGAGCCTGATGGTGCAATGGTTAAGAGCTATACTGCTGATGGAAAGGTCATTGGTTCAAACCCACCAACCACTCTATGGGGAAAAAGACCAGATCTGATATTCTATAGACTATGAAACCCTATGGGCAGCTCTATTCTGACATACAGGGTTGCTATGAGTTGGAATCAACTCGATGGCACACAACAACACATAAAAGAGGTCCCAGGGTGGCACAGCTTGAACCAATCCAATGGCACCACTGAAGAAAGGCCTGGCGATCTGCTTCAATAGAAAACCGTATGGAGTAGGTCTATTCTGTAACACAAGGTGTCAGCACCGTAGTTAGAATCAACTCACAGGCAACGTTTTTGGGTGGTTTGTTTGTTGTTGTTTTTTTACAGAAAGAGGGATACGCTGTAATGAATAAAAACTGTCTTCTAAGGGTTCTCCCCCAAACAAGCGCTATCCTCCACTGCTTTGCTTCAATTTACTTTCTACCGTGATCACAGAGACAGGAAAGAGAAGACTATTCATCTTTACACATGTCCACACATTTTCCTGGCTCTTCTGTCTCCCTTCTTGGACAGGGCCATTTCCCCATATCCTTATACACCATCAGCTCAAGTGTATGAAGGGAAATTTAGGATGCAACTGTATGTAATGTAAATTGCAGTATCGCAGTTTCTCATTAAGGCTTTTTTATCTGTATCTAATCAATCACTTCCAAGGACTCCTGCTGTCACTTTGCTATCTAGTCTTCTGGTTCCTCCTCAACCTAGAATTTCAAGGATGTTGTTGTTGTTGTTATGTGCCATGGAGTCGGAACTGACTCATAATGACCCTGTACAGGGTTTCCGAGGCCGTAAATCTTTACGGGAGCAGATAGCCTCCTCTTTCTCTCACAGAGCAACTGGTAGTTTCGAACTGCTGACCTTGAGGTTTGCAGCCCAATTAATAACCACTATGCTACCAGAGCTCCTTAGAATTTCAAGGATACTTATTCTTGATCAGTACCAAACTGTGCTCATTTCTTTATCCAATACCTATCTATCCTACAGAGCCCTAAAGGCTAAGATGTATCTCCCAGGTTTTTAAGATCAGGGCATCTAGGTACCAGGCTCATCATCTTCTGCCTCAAGTCAAGTCTCCTCTTTATTTTAGCCAACTGACCTGATTAAGATACCAGTCTCTGGGTTCTGACCATTAATTTTAAAAATCCATGGCCATGAGCTGATTCTAACTCACAGCAACCCTGTATAGAATTTCCAAGGCTGGAAATCTCTACAGTAATAGAAAGCTTCTATTTTCTTCTGAGGAGTGTCTGATGGGTTTTAATTGTCCACCTCATGGTTAGCAGTCCAGTGATTATCCTACAGGGCCACCAGGGCTATGCTTAATAGGACCTCAGTAAACTTCTTAGCTGAGTTATCTAAACAATCTATACAGAACTTTATTATCCCAATAGTGGCTTTCCGGCTTTCTTTATTCTTTTTGTTATAACTCATAAAATCATTCTAATAAGACTCATTCATTATCCCTAACTCCTCTACCCTAAAACAGCAACTTATAAGTTACTTTTACTTTTCCCTATGATATTTACTAAAAAGTCTTCAGTCACTTCCAAACTTAATCCCCAGTACCACCAACTACCTACACCATCAGGTCAGAGGTCCCATCAGCCTATCAAGTTATACCAGATTCCTCTTTCAGCTTAACAAGCTCTCACGTCTCACAGGTACATGATTAGCCTTCTAAAGAAAGTTATTATCTTAACCTGAAAATTCAGCACTTATTTCCCTTGAACTTAAAATATTAGAAAGACATAATACAGCAAAAAGATCATGGGTTCTGGAATCAAGGCGACCCAGGTTCAAACCCTGGCTTATAGTCAATGTACTATTGAATAACGACTATTTCTCTGAGCTTCATTCTTCTGATCTACCTTATCGAAACTGTTATGAGGGTTACAATGAAATTAAATGCTGCTATGTACAATCAAAAACCTCATGAGATTTAGTTTCTTGGTTTGGAGGTTTAGGGTCATGATTACATAGGACATCCCAGTTAACTGGGCTAGTAATAATACATTTAGTGCTTCTATCTACCTCCCATTGTGTAATAAATGCTTGGGGTCCTAAAAGCTTGCTAGTGGCCATCCAAGGCATCCAACTCACCTGGAGCAACAGAGGAAGGAGAATCAGAAAATGGAAGAAGATATGAAATGTATGGCTAATCAGCTCCATGAACAACTGTCTCCTTTGTCATAAGACCAAAAGAGCAGGATAGTGTCAGCTAGCATTAATTAACACTTTGATCAAAGATTCTATAGAATACAAGGGGGGTAATGTAGAATCCATCCTGAATAGTTTTCCTCTTTTCCAGATGGGTCTGGTGAAAGGGGATAGGGGAGGATGGGGGTAGGATTTTACGAATCAATTGTGTATAACTGTTATCAGGACTAATTGTGATTGTCACAACTATAAATGTAGAAGATGTGTAACTAAAAGGGGGTAGTAATTAATCTTCCATTTTAGGAACAGAGGATCCTCAGACCAGCAAGAGGGAAGAGCATGAGTGGAGCATAGGATCCTAACCAGAAAAGCGGCGACAACAGACAGTGGCAGAGGCGATGGCATAGAGAGACAGAGCAGCTGAGGACTCTAGGCCCAAAGACTGAGAAAGGCTGTGTGCCTGCAAGCAAGGGGCTGGTTTGCAAAGTGTGCCCTTTGGACATTTAAATGCGTATGTATTTTGTTTTGTATGTGTACATCAAAAAAAAAAAGAGAGAGAGAGCGAGAGCGACTAGAAGTAAACACTGTTGATTGATGGTATATGGAGGGGACTGTAATCATTACAATGAAAAAAAATATGATTTATTGAATATAAAACTGATAATCTGTCCTATAAACTTTCACTCAATTCACAACTAAAAAAAAAAAAAATTCTATAGATTAATCCTGATCATAAAGGAGAATATGCACAGAATTTCAAATTCTCATGGATCCAGACTTCCTTCAGCCATAAAGATTATTATTATATTATTATGTGCCATTGAGTCGGTTCCGACCCATAGCGACCCTGTATAGGGTTTCCGAGGGTGTAAATCTTTACGGGAGTAGAAAGCCTCATCTTTCTCCCGCGGAGCAGCTGGCAGTTTCAAACCGCTGACCTTAAGGTTCGCAGCCCGATTCATAACCACTACGCTACCAGAGCTCCTGTATAAAAATTATATGAACCCCTAAAACTACTGCCCTGAGATAATCCTTAAACCAAAAATATCTTCTTAGAGCCAAACAACGGTTTAACTAGTAAAAAAGGTCTGCCCACATACAATTAATTTTACTTGTTCCCAACACTATTGCTGTTATGGAATCATGAAAGTCCTCAAAGATAAAGCACCAAGACTTTGTATTTTCTGAGATCAAATTCAAGACTCTAAGTAAGGCATTTAAGTATTCTACCGAATTCTAGGAATTAGGATTAATGAGATAAAATAATTCATATGAGCTTGACAAACCCTCAGAGGATTAAGTCCCATTTTAAAGCAAATATTATAATGCTTCACAATGTTTTCTAATAGACTCTAAATTATAGAAAGTAAAAGGCTGATGGGAAAAACTGCTAAGAGTAATTTTAATCCATATCTAAAATTTTAAAAATGAATCTGTAATAACTTTTTTTTTTAATTCATGCTTCCCATGGAGAGCCACTACCTTTTGTTCTAAGTCAAAGATACATTTTTTATCTTGTATAAATTCTAATTTATTCTGGGCAAATAGAGAAGCTGCTATTTCCAAAGCTGGTTTCGCATTCTCAAAACAAAAATATTTTTATTACTTTGGTTCTTCTTGCTCTTTCTAAAATTAAGAAAAGTCAAAACATTACAACAGTAAAGTGATTATCTATTAAGTGTCCTAAATATGAGATTCTGACATCATCATTCTTTGATAACCTACACTGAATGAATTATCTGGTTACTACAATCTTGATAACTCAGACTAACCCAACACCAAAAAAACTGGCTTTACTTGAAATTATTTAATTTAGCTCGACTTCATATAAATACAAATTGTAAAAAACCCAAACCACTTGAATTATACTTACTCTAAAGCTAGTTAATAAAGTATGTATACTGAGCTTAGATTTACAATACTATAGTCTCTACAAAGTAAAAAATATATATATGCACTTCTAAATTTGCAGAATCATTTGTAAAACTCTTAGTTTAGAAGAAAGCATTAATGTATCAAACAACACTTTTATAAATGACATAAGGCTAATACCTACCTAATATGCAGAATACATCAGCAAGAATGGAGGGCATATCTTCACGAAACTCCTAATTTTAAAAATAAATTCATGGTTAATAGCTGAATAGCACACCAGCAAGTATTATGGCTTCAAAATACCACTCTTCATTAAAAGTTAAAAATAACCAAAACCCAATTAACACTAGGTTAATATTGCTTTGAGTTAAGCTTTATAAACACAGAGAAAAATAAAGAGGGAAATAAATGTTGGAGGAGTCCTGGTGTGGCACTACGGGATAAGTAGTGGACTGCTAACCACAAGGTTGAAGGTTCAAACCCACCAGTAGCTCCAAGAAAACCATATACAGGGTTGCTAAGTCAGAACTGACTCAATGACATTTAACAGCAACAAAAAGGTTGGGAAAAATAGTTTAAACACCTACCATGGAAATCTTGATAAAAAAACCCAGAAACCTAAACAAGCACCTCAGGAAATATTAAAGAACACTAATAAATGACATTTTTCCAGTGATGTTTTATATTAGAAACCACTGGAATTTAGAGTACCTCACACCTACTATAAAGCAACCCTGTTTAAAAACTGGTGTATTTTTAATCCAAAACTTTAAAAGCTGTACACATGATTGAATAAACAATGATTTTCTTTATTCATTAACACTTATACTATTTGGAGAAGCTGACCTAATAATCTCCATTAATTTCTAGATGAAAACTCCAACATTTATTTAAACCAACATTTTTCTCTTGACTTCCTATCCCATTTTCCAATTGTAAAACCATTCTCCACTAGTAAGGATCACAGTTCAATTAGTGCAATTAGTAATTTTCTGGCAGAATACCAACCCTAAAATTAGAATATTTTCAGGGGATAAAAGAAGAAGCATAATTCTCAAAGAAAAAAAAGAAAAAGCAGTCTCAAGGAGATACACAAGGTATGTTTCTGTAGCTAAGATACAGGACAATACAAAGTACTATGAGAATATTATGATAAAGGCAACCATCTACAGAAGTGCATGTAAATATAGCACCAAGGACTCAAAGAAAAAGAAAAGATAACTAAGAACTAAATAGACACATATAAAGTTCACTGGACTATTCACTTTAAGTATATGACAAAGAATTAGATTCTATAAACACTAATACCTATACTAACACCCAATTTACAGAGTGAAAGATTTTAATTCAAAAGCTGTTTGCATGGGGGCAGGTAATGCTTCATATACAAATTGACATACCAGCCGGCTAATAGATTTGAATGTGTTAAAAAAAAAAAAAAAAAAAGTACAGTAAAAAACTCAAATTTAACTACTGATTTATAGCAAATGCTCTTAAATTTGGAAGCCTATCTTCCAATTCAAGTATGAAAATATCTGGTCTGAATCTAAATTAAATTCTCCAATAACTTAAAGACTGAAAACAGAATAACCACATAAAGAATTTTTATAACCTAGTTATTTCTAGATTAGCAAACAGACAAAACTGGCAAAAAGTGATTTATTAGAATTGTGACACCTCAATTCAAAATAATTCAATCCTCTATTAAAAAATATATTTAATTTCCAAACCTAAGTACAAATAAAGTAAAAATAACTCTGATACGCAATAGTGGGAGAAAAATATTTTAGCAACTTAGTTTTTCAGGGTACAATTTTTATATTAATGCTATCTTGATTTTCACTACAATACAGGTTTCTTCCCTCCCACCAGTTTATATAATATTTTCTGTTTTACTCACAGCCAGACAAAAAAGCAAAATATCTATTTCTGCCTAGCCAAAATGGGTTACCATTATTACCTTAAAACATTTCACTATCACAATTTCTAATAAAATGAAAAAGTATACACTTTAAGGGAAAAAAAAAAAAAAGATGTAGCAATCATTTATATATATATATATATATATATTTAAATATATATATATATATACATACACACATATACTTACACTAATGTCATTAAGAACATTAGATGCCTGTTCATGCTTTAGATTTCCCTTAATGACATGATAAGATAACTCATAGAGAGCTTGCTGGAAATCTGTTGAACATAAAAGAAATAGTGAATGGTAGACTAGTTGAAGGAAAATCTATGTATTTCCCTCATCTAAGAATTATTATAAACATCAATAATGTTAAGAGAAAAAATACATTCTAATGCTTTCCTCTAACACATTCTCTTATTTTCACAAAAACATAACACCAAAAGATAAGAAAGTCAACCATGATTCCACTACGGTAACATAACTACTTGAGCTTCCCTTTCCATGTCTACATCTTTCACATATTTGCATTCATAGTCACACATCATTTGGCATTTTGATTCTCCTACAAATACTTTTAAAAGAATTTTTTTTATGCAACCTAAGTTTCTATAATTATTTTTAATAACTACACAGAACTCCAGTAAGTGGATATAAACCAAATTAACAATTCTGTCACCAACATATTTCACAGATTATTTTTGTTCTGAATTTATAAATTTAAGATTACAGTTAATTCAATCTCAAGGCTACAAGGACAGAAATGAACATAAAATCAAGTTTCCTCCATATCCTACTGTCAGAAAAAATTTCTCCAAATCGAAATCTCTTTTTCTAACAGTATTCAAATTAAAATACATATATACATACATACTATGTCAAATAACAATTCTAAAAAGAATTGTTAACCACAAGTAGGCCCATGCACTATTAATTGCCACATCCCCCTTCCCTGGATAGGAAATTTTTCTTGGGAGTGGGTAAGGATGTAGTGATCAGATGAACACTCCCCTCCAGTCATCTTTTTCTGTAGTCCCCAAAGCTAAAAACTTACCTCTTTCCTCTAAAAGTAGAAAAACAAGTAGCTCTAAAATTGCTATTATAAGATAAAGTATTTAAAATTACTTTTTGGGGGAAATAAAAAAAAATCTTTGAGGGTAAAATAGCAAGTAAAAACATCAGGTATTTTAAACTCTCCTCTGGTTTGACTACTAACCACAAAAGAAAAACAATAAAAATCAAAATTTTTATCAATCCCCCTTTAACCAATAAAAATAGCCTCTTGCAATGAAATCAACTTGTCCAATAAATCATTTGCTAAAAGAAACATAACTAGATTATCCCAATTCTTTATGAAGAATTCATTATTAAATATATTCTGCATTTCTGACAATTATGCCTTTATTATGCATACAAATAAACTATAAAAACTAAAATACAAAGAAAAAAGTTCTATATTTAATATGGTAAGAATACAATATCAACTTCACACTCTATTTCCATTAGTAAAATACTTCATAATAATAATACCCATTTAAAAATTATCCATATAACTAAGGTTTTGTTTAAAAGGAATCACTTTTAGAAGGACAGTTGATCAGCATAATGTAAATTCCCACAAGAATATATTTTCTAGTACTTATTAGGGCTGAGGGAATTCTAATCTTAACCACAAAGGGAGATTAAAATAGAGAACAAATGGCTAGGCTCATTTTGCTGACACTAAAGTGATATATAAAGTCGTCACACTGTAATCCATAAAGCAGCAGAAAATGTCCCCAATTCACATTTTTAAAATGTTCACTTAGAAGTCTGAGGTTAAGAACTTCTATTGTATTTAATTCAAAGAAAAAGAGAAACTGCCTGTCTGAAATGAAATTAGCTTAAGGGAGGAACAGAAAGGGAAAGGACAAAAGAAACACTAAACTTCTGAAGAAATGACATTAAGTCAGTGTCCTGCATGGACTATCAACTGGTGCCCTCAGATCAAAGCTTGATTGCTGGTGGTGGTCAGACAAAGGTATGTGTGTTGAAGAAGCAGGTAGAGGCAAGAAAGGGAGAACACTGGTAACTCAGCCAATGAAGCTGTTAACTATTTTTGGTTCCATGTGTAAATCAGAAGTGAGAAAAAGGGTTCCTAGGAATAGGAGCTGACTCAAGGCACTTAACAACAACAACAAAGATCTACACAATTTCATTTAATTAAAAGAAGAATCACCCTACACTTTGCTATTTAGTTTTTCGGGTAATTATTTTTCTCATTTTGTCACCACGTAAAGGTTTCAATAGCTAACAATATCAAAGTTAACTGAGAAGGTGTTTTAAACATGGAGAAGAGGAAAAAAAACAACCTATCCAAATGTTTTTAGAAAGGAGACTTGTATTTTCTTGCACACTTCTGAGAGTCCACAAACTTATTCAAGTAAGGCATTATAGCATCCTCAGACGCAGAAACCTTTACAAATGATCACATAATTTTATAAGCAGAATTTGGGGGACAGGTAGCTGGGGATGTTGAATCTCAAAGCAGGTCTTACCCAAATGGCAAATATGATTTTCATTTCTTAAAAAGTGCGTTCCACGTAGCTTTTCACATGTAAACTAATAGACTATTTTTAATAAAACAAAAGTAAACTTAACTAGAGAAAAACATTCTATTCTTAAACTAATCACAAAGGTATAATCTAAGTAATTGTAACAAATGTTATCTAATATTGTCTGGTTTAAAATACAACATACATTATAAAAAATTCTTATTTTCCAGATTGAAAAACTTTGAGTTCTAGTCCCCATAAAAGTGACATACGAAAATGTGTTAAACTTACTAAACATGATTGTGATTATTTAACTTTCCCCTTTTTCAAATCCATATACTCAATTTTAAACTAATGAAAGGGCAAATAGTAAAATCCTTTAAAACTAAAATAAGTGGAAGTTTACATCCTCTTTAATTATAAAACATTTTACTTACTAAACCCTATTTGTGATATGCAGTAAACAACTGCTTTGCTTTTCATGTTTTCCATGACAACTGCCTTAATAAGATCCCCAGATACCAGCTAAACATAACCAGCTTCAGGAAAAACACTGAACCTCAGTTTTGGAAACTTTCTTGTGCAAACAAGATCAGGACTACTTTCTTTCTATGCTAGTTTTTCTTTCCTGTTTATGATAGCTAACCTGTGTATATTTTAATACAAGTAGCAAATGCTGAAATTCAGGTAAACATACCAAATCCCAATTATAAAAGTCAATTGATATCAAATAACTCTACTGCAGGTTAAATAATATCTGTGTATAGAGAAGTATACTCTTCTATACCTACAGTTTTAACTCTGACAATAATATATATATATATATATATATATATATATATATATATATATATATCCAAAAGCTTTATGTATTTTCAGTCATAACAATGAATATTCAGTCATAACAATGAATACTAACCTTCAATCAAGTTAAAAATGTTAACTGTTATTCTTTCAAAAGTCTTACCTCTGTAAGTTGAACTATCATGGCTTTTATTTTCACTGAGGATCCGGCATAAATGCAAACTAGAATAAAACAGAAACAATCTGTATTAACTTCTAATTTTAACACTAGATGATTCTTATGTTGTTGCTGTTATTAAGTGCCGTTAAGTAGGTTCCAATCCATAGCTGGTGAACTGGAACCACCATCATTGAGGTTCAAACCAATTTTGCAGTCCAATATATTAACCCATTTAACGCCACACCAGAACTCCTTATAGAGCTAATTTCATCAATTAAAGAAAATTTTGCAATACATCAGATATATTTAAATCCATTATTCATAATGACCTAAAAAAAAACTAAACGCCCTAAAATTGGTCAACACTGGAGAACTCTAATGAACCAATTTATTGCTCTGAAAATTGGTAAATTAAAAAAAAAAATCAAACATTTATTCTATTCTGTCTTTCATATATGAACAATACCACTGGGTAACCAAATAATAGATAAGAAATGTCTCTACATTGAAGAATTTCATCTAATAAGTAATGAGAGAGTTAGAATCTCTCTGGTGTGGCATTGTAGGATAATAACTGAACTGCTAACTACAAGGCCAAAAGTTCAAACCTACCAGCTGGTCCTTTGACACTCTGTACTGAGTCGCTATGAGTCAGAACTTTCCCAAAATCAACTTAAAAAAAAAAAAAAAAAAAAAAAAACTGAACAACAATGAATCAAAAGATCAATTAGGCATTGATCTTCATTGGCTGTTTGCATCACAAGATAGATAATATGTTCCTCTTGATGAAAGAATACACCATCCATCTTCGAAGTTGTCTTATGAAAAAAAAAAAAAAAAAAAGATCTCATCCAGTCATCTAGATCCAACTATTAATTTATAGGAAACCCAGAAGACAAATGAGCATATTAAACAATGGCATGGGGATGCAATCAGCAAAATTCAGATTGTGGCAAACTCTACCCAGTCTCAACATTCAAGAAAAAACAGAAAACAGTGGGGGATCCTGAGGTTAAAAGAGGCTTTAAGAGACATATCAATCACCTTGGATCTTTAGTTGGATCCTGTTTTTAAAAAAACTATTTTACAAATTAACACAACAGAATTGGAATAAAATTTATTAAGGGTCTTTATCTTTGAAAGATAGATTCAAATATTCACAGATGAAATGTCAGTGTCTGGGATTTGTTTCAAAGCAATAAAAAGGAATAGAAAATGGGTGAAATTATAAACAAAAATTAGCTAGAATTAACGGAACTAGTTGATTTCAATGGCTAGTATTCTGTTTATATTTTAATGTGTTTCAGACTTTTTCCCCAAAAATCAACTTAAGAAATAAAAAACTGAACACTGAAAATATGCTTTCACATTTTGACTACAGGTATGTGTACTTTGTTGTTATTGTTAACTGTGTCACTTAACAACATTCACTATCCGACCTCCTATATATCCCACTGTCTATATGTTGTTGAACTCCTGGTATGGCCCTGTAGAATCAGCACTGGACTGCAAACCACAAGATAGGCAGTTCAAACCTACCAGCAGCTCTTCAGAAACCCTATATAGGGTTGCTATGAGCTGGAACTGACTCAGGGGCACTTAACAGGCACTTAACAACTACGTATGTAGTTGGTCCCATAAGGTTTTGTTTTTGTTTTGTTTTGTTTTAAAAGAGAAAGCAGCTCTCCTTCTGTTGATTATAGTATGACACTATAGAATAAGCTGTTGGATAAGCACTGGACTGTTAACTGCAAGGTCAGCGGTTCAAACCCATCAGCTGATCTTTGGAAACCTTATACAGGGTTGCTATGAGAACCGATTTGACAGTACTTAATAACAACAATGGTTTTAATAAGTGCAGTAGCTCTGTAGAAAAAAGACTTGACTGCAAACCACAATTTCAGCAGTTCGAATCCACCATTCACTCTGCAGGAAAAAAAAAATGAAGCTTTCTGCTCCAGCAAAGATTTACAGCCTCAGAAACTCTATACAGGGCACTATGAGTTGGAACCAACTCCACAACACTTAACAACAATGGTTTTAAAGACCAAAAACCCAGACTATTTTTGCAGTACTGGACCACAGGTGCGATACAGGCAGGTGACCCAAGAGGACATGGCTCTGGGTAAGGGTTCATGGGCTGCAATGGGTTGCTCCTGCTGCTCAGGTAGACAGAGCAGCACATGACGCAGGGCACACTTTACTCCTTTCCCTCTCTTCCTCCTCTTACGGTGTTTCACTGCCACCACCACCTATTCCTCTGGCCTGCTCCTGCAGCTCTAGCAGTGCCAGCAGTGGAAATAGCCATAGAGATGACGAAGAAGCAAGATCCCATAAGCTTTTAATATGGTGCTCACACAATGTCCAACTCAAGTAAGTACTATTTCACAGAATTCTGGATACATGGATGCTAACACATTCCTTTATTTCTTCATTGTTGTTGCTGTTGTTAAGTGCCGTCGAGTCGGTTCCGACCCATAGCGACCCTGTACAGGGTTTCCAAGGCTGTATATCTTTACGGGAGCAGAAAGCCTCATCTTTCTCCCGCGGAACAGCTGGTAGTTTTGAACTGCTGACCTTAAGGTTCGCAGCCCAATTCATAACCACTACACTACCAGAGCTCCTTTTAAGTGCCGTCAAGTCGGTTCCGACCCATAGAGACCCTGTACAGGGTTTCCGAGGCTGTAAATCTTTACGGGAGCAGAAAGCCTCATCTTTCTCCCGTGGAGCAGCTGGTAGTTTCAAACTGCTGACCTTGCGGTTTGCAGCCTGATTCATAACCACTACGCTAACAGATACAGCAAAGAAAATATACAGGATGAAGTGAGAAGATATATGTTTAATGGGAATTGCAGAAAAAAGAAAAGAGAACAGAGCAAAAGCAGTATTTGAAGAGCTAATAGCCAAGGATCTAGTTTACCAGAACTGAAGTAAAATCATATCTGGGAACACCATAGCTAAACTACAGAAATGAAAAACAAAACCTTTCAAAAAAAAAAAAAAAAAAAAAAGAGTAGCTTCATAAAAGTCATATGACTCCTCAACAAGAACACTGACTTCCAGAGGCAGAAAGATACACGCACATGCTGAAATCAAATATGTCAATCTAAAATTCTATACCCAAAGAAAATAGTTCCAAGGAAAGGAAAAATAATAAATTTCAGACAAAAATTTACGAGTTCACGATCAACAAATATAAATGCTTTGGGAACACCTCAATTTCAATAAAGTAACGGTTCTGAGTGTGTGGTTCACAACAAGCCCTTGGTTCCTGAGATTCTTACAGGTGACCTTCAAGATCAAAACGATATTTATACATAGTAAAACTAAGATTTCATTTCCCTTTTTCATTCCCTTTGTCCTAATTACATTTGCACTAATAGTGGAAAAGCAATGGAAAGCAAAACTACAAGTACCTTAGCATGTGTCAAGGCAGTAGTACCAAATCATCTGTGTACTCTTCATGACCATGAACTCAAAAATAAAAGGCTAGTCTCATTTTAAGATGTCACCAAATATTCATGTCCATGTACTCGCAGTAAACAAAATCCAGTCTCAGTTAAGAATGCCACTGTTGAAGCAGCAAAACTTACTAAGTTTATTAAGAGCCTTGAGAACATTTTTACAAATATCTTAATATTCTATGTGACAAAATAGAAAGTATACATAAAGTATTTCTGCTACTGTGTTAAGTAAGTGCCATCGAGTAAGTTCTGACCCACAGTGACCCTGTATAGTGTTTACGAGGAGTGGCTGGTGAGTTTGAACCACCACCTTGTGGTTCAAACGGACCTTAAGGTCCAGTACATTATCCTGCAGCGCCACAACAGGACTCCCAAGTATTTCTAGCTCACACCAAATAATATGGTCATTTCCAGGAAAAGAACTGTGTGACTATTGGAACTGTGATCTGAACTAATCACTTTTTCATGGAATGCCACTTTTACTTGAAAAAACAATTGACCAATTATCATTATTCAGATGAGTTTTTGACATTTTTTTCAAAATTGAACCAAATGAGTCTGTCATTTCAAGGAAGACGAATGAGAGTATTTATTGCCAATGAGAAAATTTAAGCTTTCAAGCAAAAATTAAAATTTTGGAAAACTATCTGCCATCATGGGCCTTTTCCAAATTCATAAACACTTTCCTGATTAGTTCAACGATATTTTCAAAATGTGGATTTTGATATTATATAATAAATTATGCCAATACAGTTTTGGTCCTCTATATCCAAGCTTCAGAATTCATAAAGTCAACTGACAATGGATCAAAACTAATTGGGGGGGGGGTTTGACTCAGTGGTCAAAGCAATCTCTCAAAGGCTAAAAGGGAGCTTAAAGTGCTATTTACACAGAGTACTGGTGTGGTGCTGTAGGATAAGCACTTGACCTCAAGGTCGGCAGTCCAAACTCACCAGCCACTCCACAGAAACCCTATACAGGGTCACTACAGTCAGAACCGATTCCACAACACTTAGCAACAATAACAACAATACAGAATTTACACTGTTATAATGCACAAGTACACTAGAGATGATTTAAAGCATATGGGAGGATGTGCATATGTTATACGTAAATACTGTACCAAGGGAAAGGAACTCTGGCAGCATTACAAAAAAAAAAAAAAGTGAATTACAAACTGGGCTGCTAACCAAAAGATCAGCAGTTTGAATCTACCAGTCAATCGCTCCTCAGGAGAAAAATGAGGCTTTCTGTTCCAGTACAACTTTACAGCCTCAGAAACCCTATAAAGGAGCCAACTCCACAGCATATCACCACAATACCAAGGGAAGACAGTACTTGAAAGATATATGTAGGGAGGAACAAACAAGATGGCGGATGGGGTGGATGTATAGCAGAGAGCTCCTCCAACAACAACACAGAATACCTAACCAAGCAGGCTCAGGGGCTGGTCCCAAAACTCTGAACCACAAATAAAGGAATATTTAGAAGGTTGGAAGGCTCACAGCTGGGGGAATTTGTGGCAGAAGCAAGAAGTCTAGTGCTTTCTAGTCCGGAACTCTCGGCTGCTCCAGGAGCCGCCATCTTGGGTGAAACCA